CTGCTGCTGCAATAGGGACTGCGATGCCAGGTCGCTCTCGTTTAGATCGACGTCGAAATGGCGTTGCGACTCGATTAAAGCTGGACACCGTTGATAATTTTTCTCTAACTGGCGGCTGTGGTGTTAAGAGAAAATAGAATTTCGATCTATCATGTGTGATGTAACATTCACTGGGCTTTTGCAGAAGTAAGGCCAATTTCATTATTTCATCCATTAGCGATGTGGATGGTGGCGAACCAGCAAAAACTGACAATATGGCCACAAATGATTCAGCTGCACTTGCTGATATGTACACCGGATTTGGTGATTCAATCACATAAACTTTGCATAAATTGAGTAGCTCCTTGAGTAGACCAGCTTCACTCAATTGATATAAATTTAAATCTCGATGTGGATGTTTTTCGCTGGTCAACGCCAAAATACTTAGGAATAACATGTCCAGTACTTCGGAGTGTTCCACTCCAGAACGATGCCAATCTGAATAACGATGTAATATTGATATGATCAGCTGCGGATATACGACAATGGCGCTAGTGTTTTCACTAATCTCCAATGTTTCGCCTCTTTTATTGATTATGGGTTGTGAGCAGGCATTATTTAGAATACTTCTTAGAAGGTTGACATCTTTAGTGCAGCGATCGGTCTTAACAACGTAGCCTATCAGATTCATATAGTTTATTCGTAAAAACTCCGCATATAACTGTGAATCAGACAAGGCAACACTTAGCAGAAAGTCTAAGGCCATGTACTGCGACATCGAATTGCTGCTGAGCTCCACAATCTACTTATAATAATAAAATAAATACATACATACATATGTACATATTAAAAAAAGTTATTTCATGCATTATTAAGTAGGATGTTGGTAATTCATGCCTACCCTGGCAAATAAGTATAAGTGTGTTGAAAGTCCTCCACATAACAAAGTAGCTGTTTGAATGGAGCGTAAGTGATTTTGTATCAATTCTCCATATAAAATTAAGCCATACACGCGTCCAGCTGAAATACATTTTGTGCCGTAGTTATAAATAAAATAACGATTAAAATCCCATTTCAATAAAAACGAAATTCTAACTTTGATATAGTCAAGCTAAAATGCCCTTATATTCTAAAAGAGGTTTCAAAAATAAAATTGTTATTAAAATGCAGTATAGACTTAAAATATGTTTATTTCAGTTTATATGTATGTAGCTTTATTCACATTTTCATTTCACTTAGATGTTTCTGTTCCTATGTACATATGTACCATTTTAACTGAAACCTGATTCTATTGAACAAAAAATTTTTAAACGAAAAAATAATTTTTAAGCAATTCTCATATAAAAATTTAAGCGTACCGTTAATTTCTTCATACCTATCCGGTAACATGCAGTGGCAAAAAATATAAATAGGGAAGAGACATTTTAGCACTCTTTGGCTATTTCCCTTTCGTTTTTTTTTGTAACAGTTATTAGCTGCGTTCGATAACAAAATTAGCCAACACCAGCCAACAATCAAAATCAAGAGAGTAAGCGAAAATTCTCTCCCAAAGAGATGAAAAAGCAAAAAAGTAAACGAACAGGAAATTAGCCCTTACTTGCAAAAACCGGAAGAAGAAGACACACCAGCTGACTTTGTTTATGTTTTATTTGTAAACAAAATGAAATTCATGTTGCCTCCATAGAAGAAAATAGGAAAGTGAACGTTCAATGTTCGCGAGGAACATTTCTAGAAGTAAAAACTAGTTGGCGCTATCATAAAGTCACATAGCAGGCAGCCAAAAAGCATATAAATACCAAAACTCGGAAAATGCAATTTTGTTTGTTTACAGAAATTGCAACCATATATTTTGTGATCATATGTTTTTGTGTTGGATAATTTTTGCTGACTAAAATTTTGCCAGTACAAAATGAACGCTTCTCTTGCATCAAAATGAACGCTTGCTCTCTCAATTGTGTGTTGGATAATTTTTTGTCGTTATCGAACACCATCCAGTAAAAATTTGGAAAAACTATTACAAATTTTTGACTTGTCGAACTCACCTATTATCTCTTTACGAAAGCGTGCTCATTATCTAACAACAACCATGTAAGCTAAATTTCCAAACCTTGTTTAAAATTAGCAAAATTCGATAGTGTCATAAAAATTTTGAGCTTTTTAATTAGATTTTTCAGAAATATTCTGACAAGATTTTTTTGTAGCGAATTTTAGTACAACAAAGTGCTAGAACTTACCAGTGACTTTTGGCATTTTTTTTTGTGGAAGGTGTTGCTTTCGGAATTTGACAAATTCAAAATTGGTTTTAGACCCATGGTTTCTTCGCCAAATTTGCTTCGAATTACACGTAAAAGAAAAAGGGGAGTCCGAAATGACATTTAACTTCACTTAAACACTTAAACTAAAACTTAAAAGCGAGAACTTGCTACAGATAATTAAGAATATATCGTTTCATTAGGGCTGTCTACAGTTCTCAAGTAAAATTACAAGGCATATTTTTCATTATAACTGTTGCTCGAAAAAGTACTTTGCTGTTGCTGCAAATTTTCTTGAAGAAATAAATATGTATGTACATATATATCAAGCATTTTTTCTTGAGAGTTGCACACCGATTTAAGAAAAATCTATAAAAGAAAATTTATTTTCCATTCCTTGTGCGTCTTTCTTTTAAATATACCCACTCGCTTTGTCAGAAGTTACCAGTTTTAGTTCGAAGATTTTTTGCTGTAAGCAAACCGTATTTGACGATTGCATTTAGAAAAATAAAAAAATCAATATGCGTAGTCTGTACGCGCGAATGAAGTGAAACGTTGATCTTAATTTTAATTTTAATTTTATTCGTAATCATTCTTTTTATCTTTATATTATCTTTATTTTTATCCTCATCTTTATCCCTATCCTTACCTTCATCTTCATCTTTATCTTTATCGATTGCATCTTTAGTGATCACAGGACAATTGATCACGACAAAAAAAAAAANACCGGACCAATTAAAGTGAGCTCTCGAAAAAGTTACTCGACTAAGTCTCTGTCTTTTTGTCAACATTGGGACCTTTCGTGACAATCTGCCGAATAGATTCCTTTCTACAAGACGACGAGCAACAGTTCTTGAAGATATTTCCACATTTATTTCCTTTTGAATGACCGCAGCCGATTTGAAAGGATCGCGTTTTGATAACCTCTCTATGAAATTATCGTCCGCTGGCGTTGTTTTGCGTGGTCGGCCTCTCAGTTTGCATTCTTTTGGAGGAGATAGAGCAGTAAACACAAATTTTTGTGATCTATTAATAATTTTTGCGATTTCCCTTTGCGTAAAACCATTTTTTTGCAAATTTTGTATGTGTTTACGTTCTTCTGCAGTACAATGCTTTCCGCGACCCATTTTTCCTAAATTAACGAAAATTTTATTAAGAATTGTTTAAATACGCCAATTTATAACTTACAATACAGTTTACGCACCAAAAATCACTTCGAATTGCTTGTTTCCTTTTTTGATTCTATTTTATTGCCACAATAGTCAAAGTACACTCTTGCAAATTTTAAGCATAAACATAACAGTAAAACGAAAAAGTGTTGCCATTATGACATCTCAAACGATAAATAGTGTACTAATTCGATTACAGACGAAAGTTATCGGAAATATATAGCAAAGAGGAAAAACCGCTGATTGTTTCGGAACAACCGACTTGATTCTATTTTATTGTCAGTAACTGTATATCGAACTACAATAAAATTTTAAACAAAAAATCAGTATCCAAATTAATCAAATGGTTGAACACGTGGTCACGAAGAAACACTATGGGTGACGATAATCCAAAATATCGGTCCCTTCATCCCATGCCGACACCACTGCGTAGATGCTAGCATTGTGATTACACAAATAACGACACGACCAGCATTGAATTGCTCCCAAATCATCTCCGACGACGCTTGTTCAACTTTCAAAGCTTTAATAATTTTCGCCAACTGCTCGTGGCTCCTACCAATGCGTTTATTAAAGGCATTATGCCAACCTCCCATTATATTATTGGTCCTTGGCTCATTACACATTGCAGGGACACTAAAATGACACACAAAAACATCCAGGCACGTAAATTTAGTTTTGAGTCGTAGGTTACGGATCTGCATACCGTTTTTCTAGATTGGGTAATTTTCCCCGAGATATTCTCGTTTTAAGTTTTGCATTGCGAATGAAAAAAATAAATCAAATTTTAACATAGCAAATGTTACTCATACGCGGCAACGTATGATATGGCGTATGTGTAACATTATTTCTTTCTTCTATTTCATAAAAAAAAATATTATTGCATATTTTAGTTGACCATTCAAAAGTTGTTTATTTATCCATCGATTTCCATCCACTGCTTTCTTAAATTTATTGACGGTTTTTCTGGCATTATCCATTGCACCATTAGCCATATTCTCAGGATGGCCCACTGGCAATAATGTTCCTATAATGAACAAAAAAAAATTTAATTTGATAGACGCTCGGATAATAAAAACAACTATTTTACCAGCTGGAACGGCAGACGTTGTGTGGGCAAGAACATTGCAGGTTTTGCATTTGTAATTCACACAATGCCAAGTGACAGTCTTCGTTGAAGCCTTTTCACGATGCTTATTAAAAAAAAATATCGCTTGTATTGATAACAACATATTATGACCCTTCTGCCTCAAAATTAAATTCGAAGGCACAACGCAGTTGGACTTGTACCACACACCAAATCAGCACTTACATTCACACCAAGTCGCTCCTAATACCAAAATTCGAAAAGTTTTGCTTGTTTTGGCTAGTCAAAAAACTCGCCAATTGGAGGAGAAGCTCGGTCAAACGCGCCAATCTATTATTAATTAAAATTAATTCGGCGTAATCGAGTTTTCTGTGTCCCTCTTGGCCTTAGAAAATTTTTCTTACTTTGAATATAAACGGAAAATATACAACAGGTGCTTTTGGAAGCGATGCATTTTTAATTTCTCTTGCTTCTTTATCAAAGTATGAGTTTTCACAAAAAGTGGACTTAGCAACTTTTTACTCTAAACTAGCGAAATGCGTTTCCCAGCAAGGAAATATCGGAACGTACACCTTTTGACAGCGCTTTCATGAGAAGCACAGTCTTGTATTAATATATTCTTGACAATGTTACGAGTAGTGTGAAATAATAACCACCGTTCCTTTAAATACATCCACTTACATATAAATGTTACTCACAGCTTGTAGTCCCGTGATGAAAATAACTTGTGGTCAACCATTTTGTGATCAAAATCAGTTGTGGTATCTTTATCTTTATCCTTATCTTTATTTTTATCTTTATCTTTATCTTTATCTTTATCTTTATCTTTATCTTTATCTTCATCATCTCCATCATCTTCATCATCTTCATCATCTTCATCTTCATCTTCATCTTCATCTTCATCTTCATCTTTATCTTTATCTTTATCTTTATCTTTATCTTTATCTTATCTTTATCTTTATCTTTATCTTTATCTTTATCTTTATCTTTATCTTTATCTTTATCTTTATCTTTATCTTTATCTTTATCTTTATCTTTATCTTTATCTTTATCTTTATCTTTATCTTTATCTTTATCTTTATCGATTGATATACATATGTACGTGGTGTTAAATCTTTAACGCAAACATCTCCGAACTGGATTTAGAAGTTTCACTTCAAAAATGTCTTGTATTTATACGTGGATTCTAATGAAGATATACCTGACGCTGTGCAAGTGGAGAGACCTACGGTTTTACCCCGCCTCCGTACGTCAAATAGATTTTATGAGAAACTTTTCCATGGCAGAAAAACAACTTTGACCTAAACGGGGCTAAATCGCCGAGACAACAGCCCTTGGTCGGGTAAAACCCGAGTCATTTTGGTACGTAGAACCGGCTGTCGTGGTAATGGAATTGATGAATTGTACTCCAAAATAAACGGCTATGTCTCCGAATTTCTCTCTTCTTCACCGCAAGGAGCCTAACCCTCTCCCTGACGAAATACTCGGCAATTACCACCTGCGCCAAGGAGGTCAGACTGCAACTGCGTATTCACGCATGCAGCCGCCATTGTCAACAGAGTACACAGCAACGCGAGAGATAGCTGCTGAGTCGGTGGCCCCACGAAAAACGGAATTGTCCAGGGTGCATCTGGTCTCTCTCAGCAGTTTCGCTTCTTCTATATTTATGGGCAGGGGTCGGCTGTTGAGCGCCGCTGTTTCGAACGGATGATCTATGTACGGCTCGACGTCTGGGCTCGAATCGTCACATACAATATCGTATTACTCGTCACGTAAAAACACATTTTTCGGATTATGACATACGTGAACGTACTCTTTATACCATTCAGCTTATACGACTGACGATATCACGTAATTTTCTTTCGTATGGCTTTCGAATCGCGAACGGATGTTACGATTCGAGTCCTGGTTTCCAGTCGGGCAGGTGTCGTATCACGTGTCGTGGGGGCGGATCGTTTCGAATCAGGGCGTTGTTGGGATCATTTCCATGGTGACATTCCACGAGGAATTGCTTCGACAACATGGTGTTGTGTTCTTTCACTGTGATGCTCGGAAGACATGAGATGGCAGCGTGTGGCCGAACGCAGGACTGCGTTTGACATATTTGCAGATTTCTCTACTGCGTGTCGCTCGTTCCTGTCGACCACACTGGCGCTGCACAGTTTACCACTGGCCGGCCGATCGCCTTGTAGGTAGCAAGCAACCCCTATTTTTCGGCTATCCAGATGCGCCTGGCTAGCGACTTGAAGACTGTGTCAGGAGCACAGCTTGCAGTTTGTTGCAGGTAGCTGAGGCGTGCACGGAGAATTAGGACAGGCGATCAAAGACCACTCCTAGGATGTTGGGGTCGGTTGACGGTATTTTGGCGCCAATGACGAATATGTCTAGTTCGAGGCTGATGTCCTTGGTCCACGTTGTGTAGATTTCGCGGCTCATAGCTTACCAAGTTGACTTCGGCTGACGACGGAGGTAGTTTTGTAGAGATTGAATAGTGCCGAGGAGAATAGGTCGCCTTGAGGGCCCCTACTTATAATTCCACGTCTCATCTGAGCTGGAAGCGTCGATTCCAGGACGTTTTGGCAGAGGGTTGCGTGGTTTCCTATGTTGAGCGCCTTCGATAGATCACAAGAAAGACGTTGGTTCAGACCCTCGCTAATGAGTGTGGTGATGGCCTGTGCATTGTGATACTGTGGTCTTGATGTGCACTTTGCGGAATCTATGCTGATGTTCGGCTAGCTTAGGATGTTTCGTCAGGGTGGGGAGGAGTAGTGGTTTCATGGTTTTTTGTCATTGTGGATAGGCGAGAGATCTGTACGAATTCAACGATGAACTCAACTCTTGCAGGTCCCAGTTTTTTCAGCAGGACCTAAAGTGCTTCTGTCTCTTCTGTGGTAAAACAGGTTGGTGTGTCTTGGGGTCGGAGTTTGTGTGCTTTACGCAGCACACTGCGGCGAGCGTTGTCCCTCTGTGGGTGTGCATCGAATTGCCGGCTGATGAAGCGTCCGCACGACCGTGGATCCGAAGTTGTGGTGGTGGTAAGGGCAATATTGTTCTTACGCTTTGTCGGATTGGCGAGAGACTTGTATGTGGTCCAGTTTCCTTGCTCCGCTAGAGAGATTGCAGGTCTTGAATTGCTCATTCTACGTTTTCCACTTATGTATATTGACCAGGTCTCTAAGGTCCTTATTGAGATCTCTGATACACGTGGATCGCCGGGATCACGCTCGCCTGCGATTCCCATCGCTTCTGCGGGAGAAACCTGGTCGAATATTGGCAATCCAGCCGACTGGTATGAAGCTGGCGGCTGCTGCATTAATGATCCTGCAGATATTGCGCTCAGCTATGCACGCGCATGATGGTGGTGGAAGAGCATTTAGTTTGCGGTCGGTCAATTCCGTGAAACCGTCCCAGTACGACCCCGGACCGTGCGGTTTTTAGATGTAATAAAATCTTTCGGCAGGTCTATTGCGACTACTATGGGCAGGTGGTATGATGTGAACGTAAGCACTGGTTGCCATCCAATGCAATTTATTAGACCTCCACTTGCTATTATGCCTGGCGAGCTGTAGTAAGCACCCGCGACTTCTGCGTTTACAGTGCTGAACGTGGAGTCGTCAATTTGCTCAGCGAGCTTTGGACTCCGCAGGTCATTGCCCATATGGGAGTGCCACAGTTCATCTAGCGCATTTGTATTGGCATGGTATCCAGCTGGGTAACTGGTGACGGGTGGAAACTACACTGACGATCTCCAGCTCTGTATCCACCGACTTGATGACCAAGCCTTGAAATTCTATGAGGGTAATGCGCCGGTATTGTACCGCGTTATGCAATATAAGGACGACCCCTGGGGGGCGATCTGTTCGGAGAACGTTGAACTCGTCCTAATTCTGAAGGCTCGAGCTCGATTAGAGTTTGGTCTCCTGGATCGCCGCGACTGAGACTTTATTCCATCTCATGAAATCGTCTTTCTCAGCGATCTTACTTTGTAGGCCGTTGCTATTAAACTGTCATAACTTAATTGATTGCGGTCTGGTGATGGTTACGCGCGGGGTGAGAAGACACTGTGCGCCTGCACTGCTTGTTATGCCTTCGGTGCTGTGTTGCCTGACGCGCTGGTCTCGGACCGGGTGGTCTTTCAGGTGACACCAGTCATTGCAGCTGTTGTAGCGGACTGAGGTCCAAGATATTAGCTGGTAGGTCATGTTCCCATGGCGAAAAAAATGTAGGGTTGCTGCTGTGAGATGGTCTTTGCTTAGTCGGAGTGTGTGCTCGAGGTTAATCCGGCTAACGTAGAACCGAATATCTTTTTTTAATGAAAAAAAAACAACCACCATACTAATTTGGTCTAGTTCCGATCCTTGGATCAAGAAGAAATTAACGATACTTCTACATTTTATATGAGGATTTTACTCGGGTTTTTGCTTAAAAATTATTTTGTCTATTGCCTGAAATATTCAGTGCTAAAAGTGTACAACTGTTAAAAAGCTTAACGTGCGTTGCAATGCCGAATGAAATTAAGCCCTGCTTAAACCAAAGATGTAAAAACAATAGATTTAACTCACCACTGACAACGCCTCCGTCTTTTGATTCACTGTTATAGCCCATCACAATATCTGGAGACTCTGCTGTATAGCATAGCAAACGAGCTTCGTACAACAATTTAATTGATTCCGCAACACTACCAAAATTAGCTTTTTTCAGTTTACTTAAATTTACAAAGCCATAATTTGGCTGCCAGGAGTTAACTTGAAGTGGAGCAAGCTCTGAAAAGTCCGGTCCCATTGCCGTCAAGTTGGCTATGGTTTCCCATGCTGCAAATTTGTTACTGAATAGCATTAAGTTAGATATGCTATAGGGTATTGGGTATCCCTCAGAGTGGAACCGTTGCGATTCTGTGTTATCACCCAAGCCATTGGAACTTATAGCTGAATATGCGCTGTCTCCAAGGCATATTATTTGGAAGGCGTGACTTTTTATGGAACTTCGGATATTTCGGAAATGTAAATTAATAATATCTTCTTCCACACCGTCAATGTAAACTGTTAGCTCTAAATGATCTTGATGAGCACATACTCCAAATGCAACATGTGTCCAGCTATTCCGTGTACATCGAAATAATTTCAGCTCAACAGAAGAATTCTCATACGAATGATGGTGGTTATGATATTTGAAGAGATGCATGTTATTAAAGCTGTTAAGAATCACAAGCTTAGTCTGTTTCAGAGCAACTCGCAGAGTGGATGGACTTGTGGATGCACTTGTGGGCCTAACCAAAGGAGCAGGTGTTTTCGAATCAGTAACAGCATCTTTTGCTGAGGATTGATTTTTCTCTTCCATATTCCCGTTTGCTAGCTCTGACGGCGATTGAGCTTGCATTTGGATCTCGGCATTCGGCTTGCTTGTCTCGAAAACTAATTTCATATTGCTATCAACATAAACACTTAACATTACTTGGTTGGTGCCTATGGAAACAATGTGTGTTTTCTATAAGAAAAATCAGAATATATAACCAACTCAAAGTTAATCATTTTACACTAGCTTACCAGATTGTTTTCGAGAGAACTACGCTGGTCATCCTCTGCATTTAAGGACGAGGGTTTGTTAATATTTGTTCCTTTCAGTTGCAGCCAAAACGAAAGTGTGAAACCATCATTGCCCCACAGTCTGGCATGTGTTATAGGTATGATACAAGGAGTACGAGACAATGGTGTCGTGGCTTGCGCATTTATATGTTGATTTCGAATGCGATCGATTTCCATTGTTAAATGTTGATCGCTCGTCGAAGTGCATTTGCCATCTATGGAATGCACATAAATTAAAAGTATAGCAGGAATTTACTATCAAAAATATCCTACCGATCGTCATAGGGAATTCCAATTCGACCATAGGTTGAGGCTTTTTCAGTTTACTGTCACATCTATGATTCAGATATCTTATTAGAAGATCCACAGGCGGATTTTTGGCGGATAAGATATTAAAATATGTGCAGATAACTTCAGGAGTGTTTATGTCCACAATTAACTCTAGCAAGGCTTGTTGAAGTTCTAAAAAAGTAAATATTTAGTACATGTAGAGCAGTTTTAACTNTGTGCAGATAACTTCAGGAGTGTTTATGTCCACAATTAACTCTAGCAAGGCTTGTTGAAGTTCTAAAAAAGTAAATATTTAGTACATGTAGAGCAGTTTCAACTGCGGCAACTCATTTCAACCGCTATATCTATGATACAAACCTCTCAGGCGTGGATCGCCGCACTTCAANTAACTCCGCTATATCTATGATACAAACCTCTCAGGCGTGGATCGCCGCACTTCAAAACTGGCGCAAAGCCACGCAGTAAAAATAGTGAATCTCCTATATGAGCACGAATTACGAATAGACGATTTGCCAGTTGCACCAAACAGTCACTCCAACCCACCGGATTGTGGATGCATCTTTCTGACAGCTCAATAAGAATTTCAACTACCAACTGACAAAGACCATCGTGTAGCAGATGTGTACGATAACGAGAACTTGGTTGAAATGAATTCCAAAATTCTGCCTTATCCAACTCAGTTTCAGATTCAGATATTTCAGGTATCTCGCCATCAGCTTCGTAGCCCTCGTCCGCCGTTATATAGTTGTCATCGTGCTCATTCTCGCTGAGCTCCATTTCACTCTCACAGAATACTGACATTCGCGTGGAAAAATAATCTGCATCGCAGCTTTCGCCGGAGATCGGCCTCTTTGGCACAGGCGTACGTGGTGTGGTCGCGTTGCTGTTTTTGCCATGGGTTTTTGTACTGGTAAAAGATCGCGCACGCGGACGGAGAGTCGATTGTAAAGCCGCATCCTCACTGGCGGTATTATCAAGGTCATTGCTTTCATTGAAATCTGCAAGGGCTTTGCTGGTAGAGTATTGCTCTGCTATTCTTAGGAGGCTGTGCAAAGCTTTTACCACGGCGTTTTCGCGCGTACGCTCCTCTGTGTGCATTTGACTCCAGTTGGATATAGCACTTTTCAATATCACTGATTTCAGTTTCAATAAATGCCTATCCATCGCTTCTGCTAAAATGTAAAAAGTTTTTCATATTATTGTTGAATCTATCTTATTATTTACACTGTTAGGATATGTATTTGTAATAGAAAAGATAAGATTATTTTAATCTTTAAGATCACACACTGCTATGAGAATTAAAATATTCTTATCTTGAAGTCATCTGTGCAATGTAAAGATAATTCAGCTGCCGTTGCTTTGGTGGGTAAGGAAATTTACGAAGTACATACATATATGCAACCAGAAAGTTTTTAACTGATTAAGCAGATATGGTTGCTACAAAATTAAATACTAAAATGTCGAATAGCCAATTCCATTCAATGAAAAAATTATACATTTAGAAAAAAAATAATAAATCACAAATTGCTTTGCGATTATCTCATCGCAGAGCTTTTTTTGAGATTTATTGAACAAGGAATGCAAATAAAGTATCTCCCTATAAAAATATGGTACTCAGCTCAAGTTCTAAGCATTGGGCTATAAACATAATTTTTGTCGAATTAGTCGTAGCAATCACTAATATGGCTTCAAAACATTCTTACTATTGCAGACATATGTATGCATGCATAGTACATTTTATGTATATATGCCTGGATGTAGGCATGAGCTATTACCATATTTGAAACCACAAATAATTACCCGGTAGGAAAACAAAGCCGGTTGTTGTTTTTACATAAGCAGCAATGGTGGCACTTGACTGGGACTAGGATTCTCAGTAGTTCTCATCTTCTACATCCGAATCAGAGGCACCTGCAGTTAGGGCCGATGAGTTGGATAAGCATACGCTGATAGACTATATGCTACCAACTTTGGTAGGAGGTAGCGATTGCTTGTTTCTGGCGCTACTCCAACACGAACATATTTTGGCTAAATGTACCTCGTATCTCGTAGAAGATCCATCCACTCCACGCTGATTGGTGGAAAGCGTCCGCAAAGCTTTACTTTGTTTTAACAGCATATACATTTCACAAAGGTTTTTGGAGCATGATGGTGGAGTTACAATCCTTATCCAGATACAAATCTAGGCAGTTCGGGATAAGGCTGACTCGCACAATGTCTCAGTGGATGTTTGTTGAGTGTTCTGGTATGTTGTAACTCCGAGAATATAGTTTCTAACTACGGCTTGAGGACCTTCATTCTCGCACAAAGCTTTCTGCAAGTGGCTATGGTGTGCGTGAAAAAGGAAATAGGGGTTTGTTGTTGTGTTGTTTCACACCGAAATTTGGGCAGACCTCAATAATTTATATGATGCATAGTATGAATTAATTTCGCCAATTCTTGAGAGGGTACTGGCATTTGATACACTAGATGCGTAGTACTTGAAAGAGCGACGAAGGTACACAAACTACGATGACTCCGAGTTTTCTAATGAGAGATTTCAAATCGAAAGCAGTCTTTTTTTGCGGGGGGTCAAGACTTATTTTTTCGAGCAGCATTTTTACGTGTAATTAGCTATTTACTATTTTAATAACAGCTTAGCTAGATCAAAGGCCTACTTTGATGCTTTGATATACATTTAACTATCAGAGCGTCTAATAAAATGTTACTTACCTCCTTCTTGTTTAAAACTTTTAATTGCTATTGCCAATGTTGCTTCGAATAATCGTAGAAGATACCTTTTGCTATCGCTACTTGATTCTAATAAGCAAATAAGTATCGGATCGATGCCTTCATCTAGGCACTCTTCTTTTGTACTGTTATTTAAATCGCTTACTGAATTTGCATAACTAGCGCCACCAAAAATCGAACCTATGACACTAAATAATTTTCCGATTATGCTTGTCCCAATATTTAGTACCGCTGCGCGAGTTTCCGGCCCAACTACCACCGTTGATGTTGAAAGCGCATCAGCGGCACAGTTCCACACAGTTGTGTTGGCTAGTGTGCCGACACTGGGAGCGTTTAACGTCGCTGTTGTTATGGATAATGCTGAATTGTGAACAGCATGTGAACTGACCTGGTTGCGAACGTCGTAAATTACAATGTTATCTCCAATCTCCGTCTCAGTTGCATACAAATCTTCAAAGTGAATTGATTTATGGTGTTTTAATGTATCCAAAAATGATAAATTGAAAGCTTCTGTATATAAATGCAAGCTTATTTGAGAAGTGCTATCACCCTTCGGCAAGTGTTGGATTCCATGTAACGATGAAGCGTTTACACCGGCAATTGTTGTCGCATTCGATGCAATCGATAAACTAACTGAGTCTACCGTTTGTTGCATCGCATCTACCTCAATGCTTGAGAGCAAAGTTTCCAGTGAACTTGACAAACAACAGTCTTCTTTGTTGGCTTCGGGGTCTACTGTGTACATTGTGCTTTGTATTGGGGATGATGTTGATGTATTGATGTGATAATGTGGGCGTGTGGGTTTAGAGGCAATCGTAGATTTTCGTTGTGAAAGTTGCAAAAAAGTGCACAATGCATTATAGTTTAGCGTCAAAATATCGTCAATCCCCTTGTCGTTACAAAGTGCATTTGGTGAGCAATCCTTTGAATCATCGTGGTCAATGGGCATACCTTGATTTTTATTTAAATTATATATCGCCGAAAAGGCGTTAAAGAAGCACTGACTTGTTTGGAATAGCTCATATGTAAATGACCACTGTAAAGCGGCAGCATACAAAATATCGGGCGCACGTGATATGTCTCGTTCTTCTGCCTTCTTATCTTTGCTAGCAGCTGAGTTATTTGAATAGTCGAGTAGTGCATTGAACTGCAAAGCGTGCTCTCTACCACTTTTCAATAGCAGCATAATGAGACGTTGGCTTAACACAGTTTGTTCTTTACTGCTTTCCCCCAAAAATGCCATATTATCGATGCCGATTTTAATGAGGTCGCATATGCTATGAACTAGTGTCGGTTCGCCAAACAAATCCTCTAAATGTGATATATTTTCTTCGTTGTAGAAAGCTTTTATTAAACGTATATCTATTTCCAAATAGGCAACGAAAATATTCAAACAATCTTGTACAATACCGAAACAAATCAATGTGGTATCTGGTGTTTCATCGTTTTTATCGGCTGACGCAGTGATAGGTGAGTTTCTGTTCATGGATTGCGGTAGTTTTTCATTCGATGGTGCTTTGTTCGAATTTCGGCTTTTCAGTATATCCGATTTAAATTTACGGAACGCGGGTAAAATAAGTTCGGCCAGAATACCTGCAGCAATGTCGCTGTTCAAAGTATCTGATATGCATTTTAGATGCTTCAGCAAAAGTTGAAGTGCAGTCAATTTATTGCAGATTTCTTCATTACCATTAACGAGTTTTTCATGAAGTTGTTTGTAGAGCTGCAAAACTTCCTTTCGAAACTCTGGCGATTTTAATTTTGTATCACATTTAGCACAGTTTTCTGATTGATGTTTATTCAGACCACCATGATCTCGGGAAAAAATAGTGCACAGTATTTTACGATGCAAAAATTTATAAATGTAATTTTGATATTTCGGAGCTAAAGCAAGAACTATATCCAAGCATGTGGCATAGGTATTTATTGTGTAGAGGCAGCAGCAAATGCCAATACGTAATAAATAACGTACAGCGTACTCTTGCATATCTACAGAGATTTTAGAGAGCAAATTTAGTAAAGTGCCTTGAAAGAAGCAGCTTAATGTTGGTGCTTGTGACGACCAGCAATGTACCTGCCGGAAAAGGTGGCGCCTTCTGCGTGCGTGACCACCGATTGGGTGAATAGAATTGTTCATAACGAGTTGATCATTCTTGAAAAGCTGATCTATTATTTTAATAAGTGCTTTGAAGGTCAGCATAAGGAGCACTGACGCTTCGTCATCTCCATCAGTATTGGTGTTTAGGTTTTGTAACACATTTTGGAATGTTTCAATGCTTACATCAATCACATTTTCATCAACGAACTTAAAATCATTCAAGCTGCTTTTGCTACCCAAATCATGATACGGTTTTTTCAATTTGTGTAGGTGACTTATGATATTTTGGAGAATGTAAAACAGTACATAGTTGGTCGCACTTAGAAATTCAACGGTAAAATTAATTGAAGCGTGCTCCCTGCTATCGGCAAAATTTCCAGACTTTGGGTTTACGACTTCTATAGCATGTTTTTGTAAGATGGTGGCTAACTTTGAGAATACGTTTCGAAATTGTACAGCGGTTAAACCGGAAGAAGCATTAAATATATTGTTGATGCAGCGTATTATAAGTTGCAGAAGTTCATACTTAATTTTGCCGGCATTTTGCTCTGTGTTATACATCTCATCACTGCCACATAAGCATTCCAATGCAAAATTTAATGAAAGCACTGATATTGATTGGGGATTAAGATTATCCTCACATTCATTTGAAACACACTTTGACATTAGTTGTATCACCAGGAAGGCGATTTCATCACTGCTAGCAATAATGCTTCTAAAATCATCAAGTTCCTTCTCAATTTGTTGAGGTGAAAGTGATTCAAATTGTGATTTCTTTGTAGTAGTACGATTAATTCGCAAGTTTGGGCACTGAAATTGAGAAATCTTAGCGATGACTGTTAATATGGAGGGGGAAGAGTCTAGTTTAATTTCTGCTGTATTCCATTTACAATTCGGGAACAGTTTGATACATAAAGTGCAAAGGCCTTTTTGTGAAGCGATGAGCTGTAGAAATTGTGCTAGTTAAAAAATTGCTGGTTGTTCAAATTAAAGTTATTACCTTGGTATCCACACGCAATAAAAATCGAAGCAAATGTTTACCCAAACTGTGTGTAAGAAAGCTGCGAAGGGCAACTATTTTACTCCAGTCACTCGGTGCATTTAGTATGAGCTTTAAAAAAAGGAATTATTTTAGTAATTATATTACAACCTTAAAGATAATTAGTACAAACGTTACCGGTGTAAAACTTTTATTGTTCGGAAAGGAATTCACATCGCTTATGAGTTTGCTTATCTCATCTTGTACTAGGTCAGTACTATTGCTTTCTGTTGTACATGAAGAAATTGATAAGTGAGACTTATTTATGATGCAGCACACTGTCTCCAAGAGATATGAGGTTGTTTCTTCTGGAATATTATTTAACAAACTGAAATAAGAAGAGAGTTAAAGGATTTCAATCATGCAAAAAGCATCGGGTTAATATTTTAAAATTGCAGACAAATTCCCGCTTTTATAATTTTAGAACATATCATTTAAGAAAAATTTTCTCATCGAAATTCTTATTATAAACATAACTGCATTTACCTTATAAGTACTTCTGACTGTAAAGTATCTTCTTCAACGTATTGAAAATAAAACAGAAACAATTCCATCCAATGTAACTAAAACAAATAAGAAAAACTTTATCGACACTAAGTAAGCAACAAGTATGTACTAAACGCACTTTAGCTTCGCGGTCATCGCCGGTACTAAGATAATTTTTCCAAATAACACTCAATGTTTCTACCAGCATATAAGTAGAGCCCTCCGCCTCCATGGCCTCCTGCTGCATTATTCGGCAAAATTACATCAAATCAGGAAATAAAGGAATAACGTTTCAGACTTGTTGCAGGTATATTGCTTCGGATGTTTATTGGCATGAGTTCACACCGCTGTAGAGTGCTAATCAGTGACCAACTGCATCAGTGACTGAAAATAGCAGACGAAATAAAGTGTTATTGCTACAAAGAAACTGTGGCCATATTAATATATTTGAATTATGATCGTAAATATTCATATGCACATATATTTGTATGTACCTATGTACAAATCGATGATCCTCTGCAATAACAACATAACTCCAAAAGCAAAACCCTTACTACTATTAAGGGCATCATGTCTCTAATCCTTGTCTAATCTTTAATACTTACTTTAATAATCATTACTACTAGCGTAAGTAAGGAGTATTGCAGGGGATCATCGATATGCCTACTTGCAAGTTTTCATACAAGCATACTATATGTGCATAGAAATTTATATGCATGGGCTTAATCTGTGTAGGTATATTTCGGAGTGAAAATTCGTTGTATTAAATATGAATCTTTCATTTATTTTAAACTAAAGCTTTGGGGTATGTATCTGCACTTGTTGACAAATCGAATGTCAATAAAAGCTATTTAATCAAAAACTAACTGTTGCATCAATATTTTTTTAAGCCGGAGATTAATCACTTCATGGGTGAAAGCGTTCTTATCGACTAGGCGCTCTAAGCGAGGGTTATTGCGGCACTATAATTAAATGTAGTGTCGTAAATGAGCATCAATCGGCCTTATCATGAGTTTCATTTTTCCCGAACCGGTTCACTTTTCACTTTTGGTTTCCATGTATTTACTATGGGCAGAATCAAAATTTTCGGTGAAGGTGATAAGGCAGAATATATCGCTAGCTTAGAGTGAAAAGTTGTTAAGCCCTAATTTAAAAATTGAACAAAGAGAGAAAACAACTTATTATAGCCATTTTCTTCAAGTATCTATTTCGCAAAACTTTGAATACATTTTGTCTGCTTAAGGCAAAATGAAATCCCATATAAACAAGAGGGATTTGGTTTTTATTAAAATATTTCCTACTATTTTGGCCTTATCGAATTTTCGGAGCTTTGTTTGGAATTAGCAAAATTTTCTTTTCATTGAATATAAACGAGAAAACATAAAACAACGACCTTTACACTTTTGTATGAGTTTTCTTAAAAAGTGGACTTAGCAACTTTTCACACTAAGCTAGCTATATGTATTTCTATGCATGGCAAAATCCTCTATTGTAAGATCGAGAATGCATTCTTAATTATTTATATATTTAGTAAAAAATTAGTAATAGGGCTTATATATTTTTTATGTCAAAATGTCTAAAAAATTAGTTCTAAAGCATATTTTTATCCGTTACAATCTTGGCAACTCTAGATTAAAAGCAAAACATAAACAAGTCCAATTAGTGGAAATCAGCAGTGCATAGCCAAGAATCCCATCAACATATAGTGCGTAGTAGCCCTTTAAATCCACAAGAGAATGTAATTGTATTTTAAACTGTTATTGCTGTGAAATAAAGTATTTTCACGCAAATACTGCCGCTTTTACACAAACTACACATCCAGCTGCATCGCTGATCCAAGCTCCTTTGTGGGCCAAATATTTGCAAATCCGCAGTTCCTCTATACTCCACTAGTCTTACTACACAATTTATATAGTTAATACCTTCTAAATACCTTTTTTTACTAGTTTGAATATTAATTTCCTTGAACAATGCAACCAAAAATGTTTTGACATGCACAGTGCAATTTTACTTCATCTTCATAACGTGTTACCAGATCAACTCAATACATACAGTTCGCACAAACTTCTATCGATAACTATTATTTCAAAATCGCTTCAGATATTTTCGAGTAGTGAATTATATAAATAATGACCAATAAATAAAATACGTGGTTGGATAACATAAGAGAATGGACAGGCTTGAAAACAATTGGAAAAATTATGTTCAAAGCGAAAAACAGAGACGAATTTGATATGATAATCAAAACTATAAACTAAAACGTATTGCATGTATGTAATCGCGAACATCAAGCAAATGGATACGCAGCTGAAGAAGAAAAAGACATAAAATATGGGAATTGTGGCCCAATATACGTTTTTTCCAATATTTCTCAGGATACGTTCTAAAGTGAAGTAAGTTATTTTGTTAAAGGCCGCAGTCATGAACCAAAAGAAGTTTTTTAGTTTAAGAACTTTCTGTTAGTAAATCAAATCTTTTTCTCGCAACCGCAATCGAATAAATTTAGGGCTCAGTAATAGCTGTGTTTTCTTGGGCAATGATCGGGATCAGGAAAAAAATTGGCACGGAAATGCAACAACAATGATATGATCCTGATAGACATCTGGTTCAATTTATAGTCCGCTCTCTTTGGTTTGTGTCACTGATAATTTGGCAGTACGGTTTGGTAGCACTGACAAATGAATTGTGGTATTCACAACGGTGTCGTAAGTGTCGTATTGTTGCATGTCGTAAACTTTTCCTATTATGCATTTTCGCGATGCTAAAAAATAGTTTGTTGTGGTTTCAAGTTCTCTAAACATTTATTTAAGCTTTTAAAGTTGACGACATCCAACAATACGACACTTACGACACCTCGAATGTATACACAAACAGATATTCTTCCATTGCTTATTTTAACTTGCTTCAAATAAATTGCCTTTACGTTAAATACTTGCTTAAGTGAATATTATTTCGTTTAAATGTACTTTTCCCCATTTAGTGAGTTCATTTTTATAATTTCGTCTTCCTCGTGCCAGTAGTATTAATGTTGTAGTTCAGTATACGTTAACTTCTGCCGGTTATTTTGTTTTAGTAAAACTCGCATTTTTCTGAAAAAAATTTTACACAGCTGACAGCTCTGATAAGGTGTTAAAGAATAACTTAACGATTTATGCTGATATTCATCATTTCAAGTTCTTAATTGCAAATACAAATAATGATTAAGAATAAAATTAAGTAAATTGTATATAACGTTATCTTAAAACATTAAAATTTTACTGAATATTCGAAAGCAAACCCGCAAGCGCGCTGATTTAAAAAAGTCATTTTCGGTTTAACGAGAAATAATAGCAAAGCGCCTTTTCCACTGTTCCATGTTTATCGAGTACAATTAAACGAATTTGGTGTTTGGGAAAATTATTAACTAAATTTTTCCTATAGCGGCAACTCTACTTGCGATAGAGCTAAAAGTATCGATTGCTTCGAAAACTTTTAGAAGTCGATTGACTCGTTTCCTTTTGGGCCGATGCCGTTTCCTGTGCTACCGTTAGATGATTTAGGTAAGATTTTGTAAACAGCTACAATAGCAACAGAAATGACGTCGTCGGAACAATATGTAGTAAATAAGATAAAGGTAAATAAGATAAAGGTTTTAACAATGGGAGGATAAAATAGCAATTCCAGGCTAGAGTTTAAGCAATTGTTGTTGTTTTAAGAGCCTACAAATTCCCCAAAGAGTTCTTGGGGATTGTTGCTGGAGTGGCAGTCCTTGACCAGATATAAATCAGGGTCGTTCCGGTTACGTAGACCCGACTGTCGTGGGAACGTTTAAGCAATTTGTTTTGTTTTCATTGTCGCGTCTACTGCATTAAATATACATAAATAGTTTTCTCACATCTCTATATGTCATTATTAAGTTGATCATAGTGGGAACTTTACGCAACAGATTAGCGCTCCAAGTGGAACTTGTATTTAGTAGTAGTTTTACGCTTGGATCGTCTAGTTGAGTTTATATGTATAGTAGTCCTTTATCAAAGTATTTTCTAGTGATTTAATTCTGTATTAAAATATGTTGGCACAACAGCTACGTAACGTGTTGACAAACCACGCGATTTGTGGTCAATATTCAATAAAGGTGAGCATTTTTGTAGAGGTAAAATACCGGCTAATATTGGGACATTTTGTAATGTCGCTAAAAAAATAATTAAATATGCTCTCGAACCACACACAATACTACATACATATGTATATATGTAAATTGTTTGCGTTTCAGCTAAACATATGTATGTACTATGTATTTAGGTACTAGATTTTTTTGCATGTTAATGCTATCTGCCACTGTCAAAACTATCTGTACTTTCGGTCGCGTGTCGCTTTCAGTGTTGCCGTGGTCAAAAAATAAAATTTACCAAAATCATTAAAAAAAAATTCCCAAATCTCGTAAAAATTAAGCAACTTATTTAATTAATTTGGGCTTTTCTTACCAAGCTTGGTAAATTGGTTAATGAAATAAAAAAATAAGCAAGTAAGTAAGTAGTGCCAGTCTGTGACTCAGTTTTGTCGTCAATAGTAAGGATTTTATAATTGAAAATGCGACGACCGCGGATGGGAGTTGCGTAGAGCAACATTTCCTGGAACATTATAAGGGATCCCAAAATAAAATTGAAAAATTGATTGAGAATTGACTCATAGTCAGAAATGAATTTTTGAGGAAAATTATCCTCCTTGAATATATTTTCGTCAACAAATTTAGCAAAACGAAGAAAAATTTAATATTTTAACGGGCAGGAAAAAATTAATAAATTTTGCTTAAATTTAAGCAAAACGGCAATGCTGGTCACTTTAAGCAACTGAGCCATAAAAGAGTATCCGGTATTTTTAATCAAGGCGAGCTCTCCCATAGCTGACTCTAATGCATAGATGGGCACACCAATACAGTCTCATTTTGTCATGGTATTCGTGAATCGCGCTTAGTAACAGTTGCCACTTTTCTATATTGTACAAAAGTGCGTCTTTTTTTGCGCGTGTTAGAAAACGCTCTTACAAATTTATATTTAATTTGTCTTATGAACATGAAACGAAAATAATAAAATATAATAAAAAAATAATGAATAAATAAATACAAATAATGAATTATGAAATTAATTTTTATAAGTACATATGTACGTGCATGAAAAGTTGTTTAATTTAATTTCATTAAACTAATGTTTTAAAAAATCATAGTTTATTCAACAACAAAATTCACAAAGTTGCTCGCGGTCATCACCTTCATATTTTTCATATTCCGGATGGAATGACAAATAATGTCGCCTTATATTAAAAGTACGATTTCAAGTAGTCGTATTACCACATAACAAGCATTGGGCATTATTAGCTTTTTTTCCTATATATGTGTATTTATGTGTATATTTTAAAGATCTCAAGTTCAAAACCAAACACTGAACATCTCATACGTATACAGATTCTTGTTGAAAAATAGATACTTTTCAGTAGTAGTTTTACATGCCCTTTTTAGAGTGTACTTGCTATTTATTATACTTGCTTTGTAAAATACTTATGCACAAAAAATGTACTTTATAAATTGAAATCACAAATGTTTAATTTTATGTACATGTATTCCAAGTTCCAGAAAATGTTTGGTTTTCTTACAAATTATGAGATGTATATGTAAAAAAAGAAAATTGGATACATTTGGATACATTTTTGGCTTGGTCAGTGATACATTTTCTTGAAACGGCGCGGCAACACTGGTTACGGTTAGAACATCGTCGTTTACACATGTGTCGCTACTGTGCTGACCCCATGCGCCTACTAACGTAACATTTTTTCGCGGAAGTTTAAAATTTTTTTTTTTAAGTTTGAAGTCGAAATTATGTTTTTCTTTTTTAAGTTAACGATAATAGAGTACTTTAATATTTTTGTTAATACACACTTCCTTTTTTTATTTTGAAAACTCTTTTTTCAACACTTTTATCGGGGTCACTGGGGACCCTATGCGACTAATTCTGTGATTTTCTTTATGTGCCTAATTAAGGGCTAATAATAAATAACACAAATCACTTATATAATAGTGATGTACAAAAAATTTTCTTTAAAAATACGCATACTTTTTAAAAATACATGTTTCAACACATTTTGCAATAGGACTGCGCAATTATTAAATTTATTATAACTCATATTAATTGATTAATCGCACAATCCACTTTTAAGAGCTCGGCGCTAAAAATTAAATAAAAACCTATAACAAGGCGAGATCAGCTATTTCCACAATTTCTTTAAAATCACCTATAGTGTCCGAATGACTTACATTTCTGTTGTTGTCATATATTGAGCTACTCAACCTTGATAACATACTGTTTGATATTGGAAACGTTTTGCTGCAGAAACTATTATCCTTCATATAACACTTTATTCGAACTATTGAATCAAGGCTTTCCAACATCATCCTATTTCGAATCTTAGTTTTTGTTGTGATTTGTCAACAAAGCAAGTGAGTGGGGCAAGGATAATAACATGAATTTACTTATATTTCCAAACATTTTATTGCCGGTTGCGGTTTTCACTCCGCAAGCAATTATTCAAAATTATGCAGAGTCGGATGGAATGGTTCTGAGAAAAGTTATTTCGTGGGAAAGTTAAAAGATTTAAATATTCAGTTTCCGCTGATTTTCTTTCCTTCAAAGTTAAATAGTGAATTGGAAGGTCGCTGAAACTCGTCATCTTGTGATTCACACACTTTTCTGTTGACAAAATCAAAGCTTTTTTAAAAGTATTTAATTGACTAGGTAATCGTTTCAAAAGTTCTTCGATTAGGGTGATTAAACATTTCTGGCAGTTTTTTAATATGATTGTTAAGTTTGATTTCGTGCCCAGAATTTATGAGACAGCTAGTGATGTGCTGAATTTTCGGTACCCAGTACTTAAAAAAGTTTTCGGTACCCAATACTTCTTTTTCGGTACCCGATACCGATTCTTTACATTAAACCTTCTCCATTATATGCATTTCAAGTTTAGAAAAAACTTTAATTACTAATGTATATAATATCGGCTAAAACACTTGAACTTATCGCAACAG